CCCCAAAACCCCAAAACCCCAAAACCCCAAAACCCCAAAACCCCAAAACCCCGAGTCTAACTTAATAATTGAATTCTAATATCTCAGTATAATTCACATATAATTTTTATTTTGAAATTTAGCATAATTTTAAATCAAATCAAAACAGTTATTTTATTTACTGAATTTATGGCTGATAAGGGTTCATCATCACGGCGTTCTTTTTCTGTGGAGTTACATCCTTGCTAAAGAACTTGTTATAAACGAAACCAATAAAGCTTACCTAAATACTTTTCTATCGCTTGTCTCAAATCCATCCATTGTAAAGTCCTCTGAGAAGAACCTATTATATTCTACTGAGACTTTCCAAAATACTAAAAAGTAGACTATTTTAAAGATAACCATGAAGTATGAAAGCATGATTGCAAATCTTCTTAGACCTAGTTCAACATCGCCATCATAAATCTGTGAGCTCCAGTACCCTCCTGTGTTGATAAAAAGCCAAACAAGATCGTAAGCCCATGAGGAAAGGAGGAAGAAGGCAATGAACCTCAAATGCCATTGCCTCACTTTTGTGATATGTGCAAATCAAAATACAATAAGAACCAAAATAGTGAGGTTAACAAAGTCTGGCTTTATCATTAATCACAATAGTATCGTTATTAAGTAGACAGCTGTGAAAATCTGAAACAATAAGTACCAAGGAGTTTGATCAAAACCAAGTTTGCTTGATAATTTATTTGAGGTGTTTTCTACAGCCAAAGCCCACCTATGCTCTCTATCCAAGACTTTTCCTGCAAGCTTAGCTAGCGTTAAATGATCAAAATCATTAAGCTTTTGAGATGTCTTATCTAGTCTTGAAGTATCATTAAAAGACGTCCTATTTACACTATGTGGAGTTGCAGAATGAAACGCTGATGTGTTCATTGATTTTCCAAGAATAATATTTTCTCACATCACATATCTTTCTTCGTAATAATTAATATTTTCTTCGAGTACCTCCAGCTCTCCTATCTTTTCTCTAATTAAGTCTTTGAGCATATCGATTCTTGAATGAACCCACTTCAGAATAAGATTAATTCTTCCTCACCATTTGCCAGATCCATCTTGAGGCTTGAGGTCGTACCACTCGTTCAAGGGTCTTTGGTCATATAGATCTTTTATTTTAATCTCAATTTTTCCTTCGAAGTCATCATATTTACCTCTATCTTGATCAAGGACGGTAACGATAAGTATTTCATTCCCGGTTTCAATATTGAAAGTGAAACTTTCATCCCATCTTGGATGCAAATTCTTATGTTTAACAGTGGTTTCAATAAAGCTATCTCCAACCTCTAAAATGCAGTAAGGATCACTAAGACCTCCCTTGTCCATAGGAATTAAATCTTTGGCTTGCACTACGGTCACAGTCAAGACACTATCAGTCATGATCCCGAATTTGTTTTTATTTTTCTGTCTTACACACATGGTCATACTCAGATTCAAATTCATTCTTCATTCTTAGAGCATCGTTATATTTATCTTTAGTATTGAATAGCTCTTTTAGGAGGTAATTTGCTGCTCCAACATAATTATTGCAGAAATCATCGATAGAGATCCTTGAATCTGCATCGGCCTCGACATTTTTAAAGATATTTTCAAGAACTTCATCCGAAAAATAGGTTCCATCATGCTTAAGTTTAGAATCTAAGAAATCTTTAGCCTCTTGGTAGGTGATTCTCTTCCCTTTCCCAAAGAATTCAGTCATTTTATTGGCAAGGAGAGCTTCATATTGGGCAGACTTTTTGTTGCTATCCACATACTCTCTGCTTGCTTCAAACCTTGTATGTCCTTTGTTAGGATCGTAGCTGCTTAAATCCATGATTGTTTTGAAATATTTTAAATCAATTTATGAAATTGCCTTCGGGGTTTTGGGGTTTTGGGGTTTTGGGGTTTTGGGG